ATATAAAAGAAAAAAGAAATTTTATTATTTTTTCAAATAGTATTATCTATTTATTAGAATCATTTTTTGATTGATTACTATCAATAAGAGGACAAATACGAAAATACAAAATTTGTTAAAACTATGAAACGTCAGGAAACATGGGAGGTAACTTTATTGAGCGAACATGGCTAGCCATGTATCGGACAAGGGATGCAATCGACGTTAGGACCAGAATCGCCTTTACGCTAGATCGAGCAGAAATTGTCTGTCCTTGTGTTATATTGTCAAGAAAAAAGAATCCAAATTTCTCAACCCCCAGCCCTCGGTATCATTTTGATACTACTCTTCTATCATTGTCTATCCATTTTCACACCCGATGGATTTCGTTTATTAAAATTTGAATTATTCTATCCGCGATTAAAATTAAAAAATTAAAAAAAAAAAAGAAACAACAAATTTTGGGTTAATCGTTGCATTCGTATTAGGCCAAATAAAAAGATCACTTTTCATCGTAAAACTACTTTACACGTTTTTCTTCGTCGTTCGTTTAATTAAAACACACAATTATGAAATACAATTATAAGAATGATTTAACGAGAGAGAACAAAAAATGTAGACAACAGATAATTTGTTGTTTTTTTCTATGTCGTATCCCTCCGTCCGATTTTAAAAATAAGAATGAAAGAAGAGGAAAAAAAAAGAAAAACGAAAAGACAAAGTTTACGAAGATTTTAAATTACCATTCGAGATTGGAAGAATTATTATTGTTCGTTTGAAAGAGAAAAAAAAAAGAAAAAAAAAACAAACAAAAAAGAAAAAATAAAGGAAAAATATGAAGGCAAGCAGAGAAAGAGAGATAAAAAAAAATGATGACAAGTAAATAAAACTAAATCAACTTCGTTATATATTCTTATTTTCCAGTTCCACGAGTTAACAAAGTGAAACTAAGGAGAGATCCGGTCTTGGACAAAGGACACAGAAGTGAGTATAACACTATATGTACATACACATTCGAGTTTTCCCGTGTCCTGTCTCTCTACGACAAAATTTAATTACTCTCACCGAAAGAGAGAAAGAGAGAGAGAGAGAGAGAGAAAGATAAAAAAAAAAGAGAAGAACCGAGAAAAATCCAGAGAAGGAAAGAAAAGAAAAGAAAAGAAAGAAAGCCTTAAAGCGTAGGAGGAAAGAAACTAATCGGATAAAAAGAAAATCATCCCCAAGTAATATCGAAAATGGTGCCGTATAAAGAATACTCATTTTCCACTTCCGAAACTCTACAATTTCCCAACGAGTATTCGGTTCACATTCGCCTTTTGTTGAATTCGTTTGGATAAAAAAAAAAAAGAAACCTATGAGAAAAAAAGAGAGAGAGACAGAAATAATAAAAAAAAAAAAAAATAAAATAAAATAAAAATAGAGATAGAGCCAAGAGCGAGAACAATGCCGCAACACCATTGGTTTAACAAGAAGTGAGAGTGAGAAGGACAGAAATAGAGATAAAATGAGAGAGTAGAGAGAGAGAAAGAAATAGGAAGAGAACGTTACTGAATGCGCAGTGAATAATAAACGTCAGTCGCACGTCTACACTTCAACTCTATTACTCCCACTTGTCCCTTTTTCCTCCTGCCTCTCGTACACACACACATATACACGTATATACATAGACACATAGAGTCACTTCACACAACACTACCTTACTTCGAACAATCTGCCCTTACAGTTAAGGTTAGGTCTCTTCCAGTAAGAGCTTTCTTGTGTTTTACGTTATTTTAAACTAAATTCGTTAATACTCGCGAGACACCGTGTGTTATACACTTCGATACGTTTCCTTTATCACGTTGACTTTATAAAATCCTCTGAAAACAAAAAAAAAAGGAATAATAATAAAAAAAAAATATATATATATATATTTATTATATCGAAGCATTGTCCTTTTCTTATAATTAAATTATTATTTCAAATTATATAAATCTATTATGTCATTATAATATAAAAGTAACCAGAATTAACGAAAGAAGATCAGGAGGATAGTATTGCGTTATAGCTATGATTTATAAGCATGTATACATGTAGGTGTAGATATACTGGATGGACCAAAAATTTCTTGATTCATTTTATCATCGATTATTATTTTTTTGTTCCTTTTTTTGCTAAAGAATTTGTAAATTACAAATCTAAAATTTCTGATAAAAGGGTGACCGATGGATAAAGTCAGATAGATACTTTTGAAACAACCTGTATAAACCGTGAACTGATGGTGTGTGTTTATGGAAAGTCCAAGTATATAAAGGTTTTGATTGTTAGTCTGACATATTTGCTTGTGGCAAGTAGATAAATACTATGATTTAGTCAGACTCTTACGTCTGTATAAATGAAAGTAGGTGAAGACTATGATTTTGATGAAACGTACGGTTTATATGGCTAGTAGATAAGGACTATAATTTGGTCAGGCATATTGTAGTTCGTGCGACAAGTAGATAAGGACTATGATTTAGTTAAATGTATACATATATTTATAGCATATAGATAAGGATTATGATTTAATCAGATGCATATATATATATATATATATATGTGTTTATCGAGTGCAAAGATATAAAGATTATAATTTAGTACAGGTCATACGGTTTATATAATAAGCAAATGAGGACTATAATTTGGTCAAACTAATATTTCATGTGGTATAAATAAATAATGACTATTTTTATAAGCACACATTTTGTATGGTAAATAAGTAAGGATTATGATTTAATTAGATGCATACTTTATATATAAAAGTAGATAATGACTAAAACTAGTCTGACTTAAATACGCGAACGCGTATCATACTGTTTATATTAAAAGTAGATAATAACGAAAATTAATCAGACATAAACAACCCACGTGTGCCTCACTTAACGTTTATATGAAAAGTAGATAATAATTAAAACTAATCAGAGATAAATTTCTAAATGGTGATTACGTATAAATAAAAATTCGCGAAACTAATAAATACCATAATTAAATTTCAACAACTTTTAAAGCAATTTGTGAAAGCAACAACATTATAATGACAAAATGTATTTCTGCAGATGTTACTAGAGATAAAATACTTAACGAAGTAAATAAGTCGAAATAATAAGATGAAAAATATGAGAATAATATACGGAAGACAGATGTCGAGTCTCCAACAGATGTTTCGAGCTGTCCGCAACAGGTATTCACTGCCGTGTTAGCTTTTGTAAGCAAACACGTTGTTATATCTACGCAAGTAATCGAGATCACGAAGAAAGCTTTCCGTAAAATTACATCTACTTTATTCTCACGACATATATATATATATATATATATAATACTCGCATTAAAATATAAAATCCGTTAATTCGTAAAATGATTAACTAAACCCTGAAATAACTATACTAATTTGTTTCAATATGAAATAAGACAGAATTACATACATCAACTAAATAATATATGAATTAACAAAAGGCAAATAATTGAAATTTGATCCGTAGATTAGGATTTAATCGATTTGACCTGTGAACAACTTATATATATTCACACAATCTTATTTTTCTTATCTCGTATCATTTCGTTTCATCTCATCTCATTTCATTTCATTTCATTTCATTTCATTTCTATTCCTATCTCTGTATCTATTTGTATATCTTTTTATTCTATCATTTTATCAAACGAAAAACTTTCTCGAGCAGACAGTAGTACTCGTGAAAGGTAATTAAGATTTTTTCTCGCCTAAACTTGACTCTCTCTCTCTCTCTCTCTCTCTACATTTTTCTCTCTTTCTCTTTTTTTCTTTCCTTTTTTTTTTTTCTTTATCTCTTTCTCTCAGACTTTTTTAATCGTCCCTCTGGTGGTACTCACTCATCCTCATTGTACAATTCGCTTCAACATTCCCCCTTTTTTCTCATTCTCTCTTTTGTAGTTCATTTCTCTCTTTTTACCGAGATAAACCGCATAATCGAGAGTTTATTAGACACCAGCTCACATAGATCTTTTCATTTGTCTTTTGTAAACGGGGAAAAATTGCAATCAACGGGACGTTAAATTATAATGAAAGAAGGACGCTTGTGTGCCTGCGTGTGTGTGTCAAGTGAGTGAGTGTGCGTTAAAAAAGAAAAAAGGTAAACGCTTCGTTTGTCATGTTAATGAACATTGACACTCTGTCTAATGTGTAAATCCATGGTTTTTTCTGACATTTTCTTTTTTTTTTTTTATTTTTCTCGTTCGTCTCACTAATTATATCAAATTTATTATTATTATTATTCTTTTTGTCTTTGTCGCGTCGTAGTATAAATCAATGTCGATAGGTGGGTATATAAAGAAAAAAAAAAGGAGAATATAGACGGACGCGTCATTTGTTTTAGAAATGAACGTAATAATTCACCATAGATTTATGGTTTTGTTTTTTTTCTTTTTTTCTTTTTTTTTTCTTTCTCTTTTTCGTACTTTCTTTTTATATACCGCGATTATTTTTCATAATAATTGTTACGACCTTATCTTTTATATCGTATAAGTTTTCCTGTATTATTGCATAACGCATTAGAAAAGTGGAACATTTCGATTGGCGATGATACGTCATGGAAAAGTAATATAAACACTCTCTCAATGTAGAATATTTATTTTCAAACTTGGCAATACGTAATATCGAAGCGATAAATATACTTTATGAAATATTGATAACGGGAATTAAACTTTTACTTTTTTATCTTGACTCGTTCAATAATATATGTATATATTAATTTTTTTACACTTTGCTATACAGAAAATTCAGATTATTCGGATTATTTAAAGTTAAATGATACCTCGTTGTGTTCTGTGCTTGTATTCAGTATTTTATTATTATTTTTTCTTCTTTTTTTTTTTTTACATTAGCTCGATACGTTAACACTTTAGCCTGTAAAAATTTATTTTCAATCATGTACGCACTCACACACACATGAGATGTTACACCTTTATTGATATCATATTTACGATATATTTATTTCAAAATATAAAATTTATTTTAATAGAATTAATAAAATGAAGAAAAATGCAATAAACAAATTACTAAAGCATCGATTTATTCGCAAAATTTGTTGAAATATAGAAATAATGGAGAAAATGAAAAAGAGAAAAAAGGAAAAACATCCAAAATAATACCTGTTGTTCTTTTACGTGAATGATCTCATTCAATAATAATAATAATAAAACAAATTACATCGAGAGAGATAAATGAAATGAAATTGATCTTTGAAATATAACCATTATTCGTTAACAAAAAATTTGTTGAAATTACAATACATAAAAAAAAACACTCACATACAGACACGCATATACACCAAAATAGAATTAATTTATTATTTCTTACGAATGATCATTCAACATTGTGAATGATTAAAATTTACTTTGATAAGGGATAAAAGGAAAAAGATTGATCCCTGAGGTATATCAATTCATTCATTTTTTAATTTACCTGTCTGCCTTTCTATTATTTATCATTTTCTCTCTCTCTMTTTCAAGATTTGCTCTTGTAACATTTTCGCAGAGACTTTCCTGCCCACATAATTTTGTGATCCGGCTTAATCTCTACTGTATACTATACTCCCCTAAGCCAAAGGTGCTGAAGCGACGAGTAAAATGGTCGTTCTGGTCATTCCCTTTGCCGTTTAAGGTCGAGACGACCTTAACGAATAGTTATTCTCTCTCATTCTGTGTAAAGAGAAACATAAAGAGAAAGAGAAAGAAGATAGACACACCCTCTTGCTGTCATCCAACCCCTTCCTTCCTCCTTTCCTACCTTCCTTTAAGCCCCCCCACGATGGATTTACGTCTCCGGTCCTTTAACGCTTCGCGAAAGTGGAGGATGATAACTGTCGTGGGTTCCCAGACGAAATCGATATTCAAATAAGTCTCTCCTTCAAACGTTCACCTTACACTCTATCTATCTCCCTCTCTCATCTCTCTCTCTCTCTCTCTCTCTCTCTCTGTCTTTTTCCGTCTTTCTATCTTTGTTTCTGTCTATCAGCTAACTTTCAGCCCTATCTTTATTAAATTAATTTATTTCGGATTTTGTTCTCCCCCCTTTTGTGTGTGCATCAATTTATTTTGAAAGATAACTTTTTCGTGGGTTTCGATCAAAAATATATTTTCTTCTTTTTCTTTTTTTTTTTTTTTTTGAATGAATTTGAAAGAATCGAAATGAAAGACATAGATAATTTTTATTATCTTACTTTCTTTATTTTACGTTTTTATTTTGACGCGAAGTGTTTCTAAAGTATTCAAAGATTTATGTTCGAAAAAAGAAATGTTTCTTTTCTTCTCTCTCTGTCTACCATTCCATATTCCAATTCCCATATAAAATAAGATTACATAGTAGTAGGCAAATCGAAAAGATTTATGGAGTCGAGACAAATGTAAAATTCGATTTACATTCGACTAAGCCCCCGAGTATTCACGGGGCTGTTGCATTCAAGGATTCTATGGGATATCGAATAGATAGAGAGAGATAATTCTTTCCAATCCATTAGCCCTTTCTCTCTCTCTCTCTCCCTCTCTCTGTGTGTGTGTGTATAGATCGAGTAGGCGTACTGTTATTAGCAAGAACCACAAATCCTAAAAGCTAGAGACAGATAGGTAGGAAATTCTAAATCGATTCTATCTAATGCATGTATGTGTTAATTACGTTCGCATTAATTACATCAACAACAACAATAACCACAGAAACGATAATAATAACAATAACCAAATCGATTAGAGAATATTAGAAGGAAAACAAAAAATGTTGTTAAAATGTGCGAGGATAAATTTGAAAGAATATACTGTATTTTTCTAATATCAGCTATCTTTAAAAAACATCACATTTAAAATACGTTTATAATTTTAATTATAATTATTAAA